TTAAAACTCTAACTTAGAGGTATTGGCTTCAAGGAAGAGAAAAGATTATTTTTATTGTATAATTTAACATCGAAATGTATAAAGAAAAAATATATATATCTAGGATTATAGTTCTAGTGATCAACATTCATTGATCGTGGCCAAAAACAAAAGAAGGAATTGTTCTGTTTTTCCCATTGAGGAATGCTGGCAACCCTCTTTGAAGTTTGAACATGTTGCGTTTTAACTTCTATTATCTAGCACCAGTCATGAATTTATTACTTATCAAAGTTTGTTTGCCATGTGTTTGATTATAGAGAGATTTTTAACAAGTACTACAAAAGATTGTCGTTTGTTGAATCTAAAATCTCTAACATAGCGGCTTGAGTTCAATCCTACATATCACCATTTGCCAATAATTTAACAACCAATTTCAAGTCCAATAAGGAGAGGAAAAATGGCCTAAACATTAAGAAAAACAAGCCACACATAACACAATCTTAACCTGAAGAGATAAATTCTAAGGGAGAAAATGAAAATAATTCCCACTGTTTAGCAACTTTGAAGAACTTGTTGATTACCAGAACACGCTGTGAAAGGAATGCCTTCATTGTTGATCATATGGATTTGAGCAAACGGTGACAATCATAATCATCGAAATCACGCTCCTTACTCATCGGTCACACATCCTTTTGAAGCTGATTGCACATTCTTGATGTACTGCAAATCAATAAAAGAATGCTCAGCTGAGAAATGTACTCATCCAAAGGCAAAACATCGATCATAATGTTGATCATCACATACCTTGTGCAAAACTCCTCTGTTAGCCTTGTATGGAGGTGGAGTCCATTTCTTTCTTCGCTCATTCATTTCCTCATCTGTTAGCTGAACATCTATCGTCTTCTTCTCAACATCAATGCAGATGAAGTCTCCATTTTGGATTAAACCAATGGGGCCACCCTCCTAGAAATAATTCACAATGCAGGATTAGTAGCCACAGAAGCTTTCCCAATAGACCATGTTTCTGGAAAAACTAAAACTTGCAATTTTCCACCATATGTAATTTTCTAACACAAACATTAAGAAGAAGCGCAGAAACTGTATTGATGTGACATTTTCCATCATAATCTTGCATTTCCAATAATCGTAAGGTATTCTCTTTTTTGTTCAAAGTCAAAGACTTTCCAGATCATCTATTGTTCAAGTCTATCCAAGTCTCAGTGCAAAACTGCCTTTCTTATCACTAAGACCAAGAGAACAAGGAAACAATTATAAAGACAGAAGTTAACTGTCCAAAAAGAACAATAGAGATAGTCCATGGGAATCTGAAAAAATTATTGCAATTCATGAATAAGAAGCTACTGCACCTGTGCTTCAGGACATATGTGGCCTACAACAAATCCATGTGAACCTCCTGAAAACCTACCATCCGTCAGCAATGCAACATCCTGTAACATCAAATGCAATATTTTCAATTAACAAAGTAAAAGGAAGTTGCAATATTTCCAAAGGCCGTAATATTGTCATCATCAAGCACACAAAGTGAAACAAGGTACAAGGAAATTTTACAACAGCCATTTGTTAACTGCATTTTCAATAGTAATCACTATCAAAAACTGCTCATCAATACAATTTTTCTTGTGAATAACCAACCACAACATTACTCTTGGGACAATCAAGGACTAGAATAGGCCACCGACTGTGAAATGAAGCTATTATCACACCTTGCCTAGCCCTGCTCCCATTATTGCACTTGTTGGTGTCAACATTTCAGGCATGCCTGGACCCCCCTTTGGCCCCTCTCCTCTGATGACTACAACCTTTCCCTGTAAAAATGACAAGCATAAACAAAATTCACAGAATTTAAAATTATAGAATACATGGGAGAGCCATAAGAAATGCACACTCAAGCAAACCAGCACATAAATCAATATTAATTATAGCATAAGAATTGAGAATTCCTATTATATAGCACTCTAGCTAGGAAAAAAGAAACAGGAAACAAACTTACAAATAGATGCATGAAAATAAAATATCATTGCCAATGATCTCAGTTCACAGTAAAACAAGATTTTAAGAGGGCGCATTGTGTTTAAGCTGAAGTGAACATTCCTAAGATCTAAACTCATCAAACTCATGCTCTTGCACTTGTTACTGCAAATCATTTTCTATTGAACTGATCAGTTACCCTTTCAACATGCTAACATATATGCATTAATTGGTGAAGGACATGCACAAGAATGGAAAAGGCTGGGTCACATAGCTAGTTGTTTGAGTAACCTATGGATAACTCATCCCAGATCCATTAAATGATTATACAGATCATAAACAATGTTGCATAATATATATACCTTAAAACTCATAGGATCCTCAGATATAGCAGCAATCATAGATTCCTCTCCTTCAAATACAAGTGCAGGCCCTGAAGAACATTTGTATCAATATTTAATATTCTGGGGACAGACTAGATTTCAACTAGGAATGCAGAGAGAGAGAGAGAGAGAGAGGATATTTGAAAAGGGTAAAAGAAGCACCTGAGAAATATAGCCCTTCTTTTCCAGTAATTTTTGCTACAGAACCCTCTGGTGCAAGATTTCCTCGTAAAATTTGGAGATGGCCAGTTTTCTTGATGGGATTTGAGACTGGCCTTATGATGTCCTGGAAAACAAATTTGAGAAAGAATTACTGGTTAGTTGCATCCGAGCTCAATGGCATCTCAACCTACAACATTTAGAAGCATTGGTCAATCAATAATTTCTGTAGGAGGAAAGATGGTAGATGGTTGGGGCAGAGGTGGGGGGTCTGCCACCTTACCTGTTTCTCAGGCAAATGAGGGAAACTTTTTGCATTTTCAGCCAATGTTTTCCCAGTAACTGGAAAGGAAATATCATCTTATTAATGTCAACAATATTAGGAATAGGCACACAATAAAATCACAAGTAATGCAAAATTGGTAAAGTGAGTCAATTTACATACCAGTCATACAATCTCCATCTAGAAACCCAAGCTCCAAAAGATAACGAATAACTGCAGGTGTTCCTCCTATCTATAAACAGAATTGTCTTTCACTCGTTAGAAGAAAAAAAAAAAAAAAGCTTAGACGTGTCATGGTGAAGGAAAGAAAGGGAAGAAATAGACCAATTCCATACACCACATACAGAGGAAAACGGGTTACTCAGAAGAAAAAGAATCATAGTGCAAGACATCAGTAAAGTTCACACCTTATGAACATCTTCCATCACATATTTGCCGCTGGGCTTAAGATCTGCCAGAAAGGGGACCTCATCACTGACCTTCTGGAAATCATCAAGAGTCAAATCCAGACCAACAGACCTGTCATTACCCTTTCTATTAGCTATCTCCACAATGTTTTGTATTGTTTGTATGCAGGAGATCTGCCAGAAATCCTTACCTTGCAATGGCAATTAAATGCAATACAGCATTGGTAGACCCACCTAGTGCCATCACAATAACCATTGCATTACGCAATGCTTTCCTAGTGATGATGTCCCGTGGTTTTAGGTCCATTTTCAACAGCTCAAGTAGATATTTTCCAGCTAAACGACATTCATCCAACTTCAACTGGTCCTCAGCAGGAATTGAAGAGCTTTGAAGAAGTAAACCACCAAAAAATTAAGTAAAGACTTGTAAATTCCAATCCTAATGATAATATGAGGGCATAATTCTACCTGTAAGGAAGAGACATTCCCATAGCTTCAATAGCAGAAGCCATGGTGTTTGCTGTGTACATCCCACCACATGCTCCTGCCCCAGGACAGGAGTTAAGGACAACATTCTTCCGGTGCTCATCACTTATGGATCCACTTACGTACTCTCCATAGACCTGTTAATTAAAAAAAAAAAAGGAAAAAAAAAAAGGAGCAAACAGAGAAAGTTCACAAACTAGATAAATTAACACACTATTTTTCATACTTTAAAAAGGTAAAAGAGCAAGTTAATTTGTTAAATACTTCTTATCTGAATGGAAGTAATCACTTAAAATAGTGTAGTAGAATAACAAATTCTCTATGCTTACCTGGAAGGCAGATACTATATCATATGTATGCCCTTGAAAATGACCAGGCTGAAAAACAGAACAATATCAGAGAAATGTAAATTCAGGACAACTTTAGAATTCACTATCTATAACTATAACCACTAAAAATTTGCATAATGCAGGTTAAGTTTTCTATGGTTTTTAACAAACCTTGATTGCTCCACCATAAATCATAATACTGGGTCGGTTGAGCCTCCCCATTGCCATAATTGTACCTGGCATCTACAAAAAAAACTTGCATTAGATGTAGGAAACAGAAATTCAATCTCAGCAAATTAAATCTACCAAAGTAGAGAAGGGAGGAAAACTATAACCGGAGCTTACATTCTTGTCACAGCCAGGGATAGAGATATTGCCATCATACCATTGGGCGCTCATGACAGTCTCAATACTATCAGCAATCAAGTCTCTTGACTGTAAGCTAAAGCACATTCCTCTAGTTCCCATAGAAATAGCATCACTCACACCTATAGTATTAAATCTAAAACCCACCATTCCTGCCTCTTCAAGTCCCTGTTTCACCGCCTCCGACAGCCTCAATAAGTGCATATTGCACGTGTTGCCTTCGTACCAGACTGAGGATATCCCAATCTGGGGTTTGGACATGTCCTCTTCCGACAGGCCTACGCCGTGGAGGATCGCCTGAGAACCCCCCTGGGACTTGGGCTCGGTGATTCTTGAGCTGTACTGGTTAAGCTTGTGAGTAGCTGAGGTGGGTGGCGGCGAAGGATCAGCAGTAACGGAAGCTGAGGATTGGGCAGCGACGCGGAGAGACGCGGGGCGGCTTGGGAGACGGTTTTGGTTGCGTGAGCCATGAAAATAGGTGAGGGGTTGGATTGAGATGAGCGCAGTGGGACGCGGCGTTAAGAGGGCGGCTTGCATGGCGGCAGAAAACGGCGCCAGTGGAGGAAATTGGGTTTAGTTAGGGGGATTAGGGTGAGTTTGATGATGCAGCCACTCCCAGTCCAGAGTCAAGCAATTTAAGGTCACGAGCTCGAGTTTTCAGGTGTCGTTGTTGGTGTCAATTTGAACTTTTTCTACTTCGGCCTTTCCTCTCTCCGAGTGTCGTTCTTGGGCATCTTTTATTTATTTATTTTTTAATCTTAAAAATATATAAATTATTAATTAAAATAAATAAAAATATGTAAAAAAATTGAGTCTTGGATTTCCAAGATGTCTTTACATGTCAAACTGTTCATTACGTCAGAATTTTTTT